ATAGACTATTTACAGTCGCGGCGCATAGATCCAGTACGTCAGAAGAGATGGATGATCTCTGTGACCCCCTCTGTGGGAACCGACCTGAAGCACTGGGGAAACCCTCTCACTCTGTCAGAGGGAGTTCCTATCAGCAGACCTATGTCACACGTCTCAGTTTTCACAGACACGTCCCTGTCAGGCTGGGGAGGAATGTGCCTGTCTCAGGCGGTGGGGGCGCTATGGCCAGCCCACACATCAGATCATATAAACATCTTGGAATGTCTCACAGTTTGGAATGTGGTTCAGCATTTTGCTCCCCTGTTGCGGAATCAACATGTTCTGATCCACACAGACAACAAGGTGACGGCAGTTTACATAAACCGGCAGGGGGGCGTGCACTCAGCCCAACTGTTACGCATTGCGAGACAGCTGTTGTGTTGGGCACACAAAAACCTGCTGTCCATAAGAGCAGTGTACATCCCCGGCGTCCTGAACAGAGGAGCGGACATAATGTCCAGGGGCAGCCCGCGCCACAGGGACTGGAGTCTCCATCCCGAGCTGATTTCTCGGATTTGGAGCAGGTTTGGCAGAGCAGCAGTGAATTTGTTCGCCACACAGGAGAACGCCCAGTGTCAATTATGGTTCTCACTGAGCCCATGGGACGACCCACCGTTAGGAGTGGACGCTTTTGCCCACAGCCCATGGCCGAAAATGCTCCTTTACGCGTTTCCTCCAGTCCCTCTAATATCACAGTTTCTGAACCGAGTCCGGGAGGAAGAACTGTCAGCCATTCTTGTAGCCCCCGAGTGCCCCGTGGTTCCCAAACCTGCAATGTCTGTTATCGGGTCGACCGTGGAAACTGCCCTGGAGGAACGATGCTCTCCTCCAGGTGGGAGGAGGGATCAGGAGTCACCCAGAAATAGGCCAGCACCTTTGGGTCTGGCCGCTGAGCGGATCTGCTTAGAGAAGATAGGCCTCTCTCAGGAAGTGGTGCGCACAATCCAAGACTCACGTGCTGCTTCCACCACAGCACTGTACACATCAAAGTGGACAGATTTTCAGCACTGGTGTACGGAGAAAGGTGTAGAGGCCATCTCATGTCCACTAGGTGGTGTGCTGTCCTTTCTGCAGCAGCTGACAGACAGAAATCTATCGTTCAGCACAATTAAAACGTATGCTGCAGCTATTTCCTCCTGTCATGAAGGCTTCGGTGACAGAACAGTTTTTAATCATCCGCTGATGAAGCATTTTCTAAAAGGCGTACTGAGACACAGACCGATGTCACGCCCACTAGCTCCACAGTGGGACCTAACGATGGTTCTGTGAGCTCTGATCAAAGCTCCTTTTGAGCCTTTAGATCAGGTGTCACTTAAATTCCTGTCACTTAAAACAGCCCTGCTGTTGGCTTTGACATCAGCAAAGAGAGTGAGTGATTTAGCTGCGCTCTCTGCTGCCCCATCATGTCTCAGGATTCAGGCTGATGGCAGCTCAGCTGCGCTGAGACCTAATCCAGCTTTTATACCCAAAAACATCACAAGTTCATTTAAATCGAGAATGATAACATTGGAGGGGTTCTTTCCTCCCCCTCACAAATCAGAAGAAGCATCTTTTCATCTCCTCTGTCCTGTGTGTGCGTTGGCATGTTACATAACACGCACGGCTTCCCTGCGACTCAGTGTCTGTTTGTGCATTATAGAGACGTCTCTGCAGGTCGCCCGTTATCCACCCAGCGTCTGTCACACTGGCTGTGTGAGGCCATTTCTGAAGCTTACAGAGCGTCAGGATTGGAGCCTCCAGAGAATCTCAGAGCTCATTCCACCAGAGGAATTGCATCTTCTTCAGCTTTGCATAATGGGATGACAGTGGAGGACATTTGTACGACAGCCACTTGGTCATCGCCTTGTTCATTTATTCGCTTTTATCTGCGTGATGTTTCGGCCTCTTCCATAACCCATTCTGTTCTTAGTGTTTTAACAGAATGAATCGTACTGTTTTCATGGAACTTCGTTTTAAACTCACATCTGACTGCATGCAATTACAGTGTGAGATATTTATTATCAGTCACAAGTTTTGTGACTGCTGTTTTCTATTGTTACTAATCAGTTCATGACTACTGTTACCAATCAGTTCATTTGTTATTAATCAGTTCATATTGAAGAGCTGTTGATCTGCTCTGCTCACTGTTACACGGTTACAATTGTAACCTTTGTCTTTCCCATTCTTGGCAGCAGGACTGCTTTCAGCCTTCCCCCTTTTTCCCCCGTCGAAAACTTTTTCTCTCCGGGGCGTTCCTGTGTGTGGAACGCATAATTACGCAGCGTCCTTCTGTGCATGGTGCACACAGAAGGCTGAGTGATGGAATGTTTTTTGGTGCAAGCAGGCGCTTCATATTGTGTCTGAACAGACCCAGTGAGGCATAGACTACATCCTGCTTCGCCTTTAACCCACCAGCGACAGCCTTAAAGGGCAAAGCCTATATGAAATAGAACATTGGTTACGCACTGTAACCCCAGATTCTATGAGTATAGGCATAGCACTTTAAGCCCTGGGCCTCACTGGCTCCTAAATGGCTGAAGCAAAAAACTATTTGGGAGCCGTTTACCCGGTCTCACCATAATTTATATGGACCGGGAGTAAGGTCTACACAGCAGGTTGGCGTGGACTAAAGTTTGCAGTGCTGCGCGTGATGGGATAAAACCCACCAGCGACAGCCTTAAAGGGCTGCGCCTATACTCATAGAATCTGGGGTTACAGAATGTAACCAACGTTTTTTGATTGTATTTTTTTCTCTTTAGTGCATGTGAGGGCGACTAACAGCTTTAAATATACTGTCACTGGGTCACTTCTTAAGAATTAATATTCTATGCTACTGTTAACTTTAAACCTGAAACCCAATCCTGTTTGGATTATTACCGATGGTGTTTCAGATTAAATGCATTATATGGGTTGCAGTGAACGGTTGCAGTGTTATGCGGGTTTACCCGCCCGAAATGGTGTTTCAAATTTGGGCTGAATGTTTAGTTAGCAGCATATGGATAAAAGTTTAAAGGGAAACCCCTTATTTATGCTAAAATAAATATTATTGTAAACCACATTTATTTTCTGTATTTATTATTTCCTGCCTTTTACGAGTCTAACACTAATAATAAAGTTATGAACAAATATGTCCGCCTTGTGGTATTGGGAGCCATGCATGAACCGTGTCTCTCCCCTCTGCTGCTCACACGATAAATAAACTCCGAGGCTAGCCTTCACAAGAATCAATCATATTGCAAAGGATATTCATTCAACCTTTATTTAGACAGGTAAATCCCATTGAGCCTCGAGGACTCATTTACAAGAGAGACCTGATTTCAACAAAGAATGATGACAACAATGCACAACAGCGACAACAATAAACGGTTATAAAAGTCATACAGAATTATTATTTTTTTTTAAAACAAATAGGATGGCTAAAAAAAGAAAGTAACAAAAAACAGCTAGATTCTAAGGCAAATGTAGAAAACTAAAAACAGGAACATGTCTGCATTTGGTTACTGCCAGAAGTCCATCAGATTCTTAAAGCCACTTAAAGAGGTCAAGGTCGAGAGCTTCAAATCTTTTTGTATTCCAGGAAACAGGAGCAGAGTAGAAGAAGGCCCTTTTGCCTAGTTCAGTCTGCACTGAGGGAACACTGCAGGTAATAATGTCCTGAGAGCGCACATTGTAGCTGCACTCACGCAGAGACATGTAGGAGGAGATGTATGAAGGCAGCAGACCAAGAAGTGATTTAAAGATGAAAATGTACCAGTGGGAGAGTCTGCGTGAAGTTAATGATGTCCAGTTAACCAGTGAATACTGGGTGCAGTGGTGGGTACGATAATCACAGTCAGTTATGAATCTTAGTGCACCATAATAGACAGCATCCAACATCTGCAAGGTTCTTGTAGGAGCGTTCATGTAAATAATGTCACTGTAATCAATGGAGGGAAGGGAAGTTACAGATACAAGGCGTTTTCTAGCATTCAGAGTTAGACAGGATCTGTTTCTGTAAAAGAAACCCAGTTTAACTTTCAGTTTCTTTACCAAGTTTTCCACATGGAGCTTAAAAGAGAGATGCGAGTCGACCAAGATACCCAAATATTTATAGGAATCAACAAACTCAATCGGGACACCATTTGAGGATAAAATCTGAGGAAGAACTGCTGGAACCAACTTCCTATTTGAAAAAATCATCCCTTTGGTTTTGTCGGCATTTAGGACAAGTTTGAGGTGAAACAAATCAGTCTGGATGATGTTAAATGCAGATTTCAAAAGCTGGAAAGCCTTATCAACTGTTTTAGCTCGACAGTAAACAACTGTCGTCAGCATAGAAATGTATGGATGCTTCAGGGATGTTTTTACCTACATTATGTATGTAGATTGTAAAGAGGGTGTGTCCTAAGACCGAGCCTTGTGGTACACCATTGTTGACTGTTAAATAACTGGATTAAGTACCATTATGTTGAACACATTGCCCGGGTCTGAGAGATAGTTAAGAGAACCAACCAATGGTGTGTTCTGAGAAACCGATTTTTGAGAGCTTATGACACAAGATGTTATGATCCAGTGTCAAAAGCTTTAGACAGGTCTAAGAAAAGTGCAGCACAATAATCCTTCGCATCCAGTGCTTCAACAATGTCACTTCAGTGAAGCAGTGGTTGTGCTGTATTTTCCTGAAACCAAATTTGTATAACTTTTTAGCCAATCACATCGAAGGAGGCGGGACTTTGGCACCTGGAAGGCAACGCGTTGGGCAGAAAAACAACGTTACCGTCATGTACTCCCTCTGTTTATAACAGTTAATGTTTTTTATTTTCGTGTCGCAGCTGTGTTAAAGAACGCTATTGGACAGTTTTATAAACGACGTGGTCTGGTAAACTCCTTCGTGTCATTTTTATTTATTTTATTTTTGACGTGACGCTCAGCTGAGCTGTTGACAAACGGGACAGCGGCGGTCCAGACATTGTTAGCATTGTTTGTGCGCCTTCACTTCAGCTGGATATTTTTACAAACAAAACGAAGCAGCCGCGGTGATTAAAGCAGGGTAACGTAACGTGTGACTTTTTGTATCTTGACACATTTACAGAACTACATGTCTCCTTTTGTTTTCATTGCCTGTAGATTTACGCAGAAGTACGCAAATTGGCGTCTATGTTCCGCTAACTTATTTATAGTCTCATTTAACGCATAACAAGTCGCTTTCATTTCTGCAAAGAGTCCACTCTTTCTTCTTAGACCTACATCCTGTTAAATCCCAGTACAGTTTTTGTTTTTGTCCTCTCCTTCAGCTCTCCATACAATGTCTGTCCAGCCACAGCGCCCCCATGCGGCTGTGGTGTTTCTGTGCCTCCTGGCCTGTGGACTGGCCATCCCAGACCCCAGGCAGAGAGAGGCTCTCATACAGCTGGAGGCCTTCATGCAGACAGGAGGGCAGATGGTGCTGACTGATGCTGAGCAGCGACTGGACACTCTCCTGCTGAAAATAAAGCAGGAGGAGACGGCCAGGGAACACTTTCCTCCCGCCATGCACTTCTTCAGGGCCAGGGATCTCATCAGGACCAGCCCCATCTTCAGTCTGCTGCAAAAGATGCCGAAAGGTATACATTTACCATAACGGCCCCCTGTACTGATTACTTCCAACAATTTTTTTTTAAATCCACATCAAATACATTTCAGAATGTTGGGGGTTTTAACTTGAAACGAGCAGCTGAATTGACACTATACTACAAATATCCTTTCTAAATAGATTAAAGCTGTAGCTTCTTTTCAGGATATCCCCTATATTGAATTTGAGAGTTAGACTTCTTTTGGTTTTTCCCTCTTCAGAGTTTGCCACAGCAAGTCATCCTCCATCTCACTCTGTTCTCTGCATCCTCTGTCCTCACTCCAACTACCTCTATGTCTCTAACTGCATCCATAGATCTCCTCCTTGTCTTTTTCCTGGCAGCTGCATTTCTAACGTCCTTCTACCAATATACCCACTGTCCCTCCTCTGGACATGTCCAAACCATCTCAGTCGGACCTCTCTAACTTTATCTCCCTGTTGTTCAACCTGTGCTGTTCCTCTGATGATCTCATTCCTAATCTTGTCACTCCTAGGGAGAAACTCAACATCTTCATTTCTGCTACTTCCAGTTCTTTCTCCTATTTTTCAGTGCCTCAGTGTCTTACGACCACACAACAAAGCTGGTCTCACAACTGAATTTGAGAGTTAGACTAAGATCATTTTATGTTGAGAACTGATGAAGTTGTAGCTGTTTTGGTCAAACCTAAAGGATAATCTCATCCAGTCTTTTGCGATAGCACAAGAGTATATGTTGGTAACAACTTGCACCTACTACCACATCAAATTTTAGCTCAGTACTTGTAAGATTGACTGAGTCATCATAGCAACATTTGTGTTTTCGAAGGTCACTTGGCTGTAGCAGCCATCTTGAATGGGGTTGCTCCAAAAGTTAACCAGTTGAGGATGTACATTGGACAGACAGACAACCAAGCACACATACACAGGTGAAAACATTATTATCCGTTTTTGCTTCTCAGCATTGGGAAATAAAACGCTTGGACTTCACAATTTGAAAAATGTTTCTAATTTTCCTTTTCCTATAGTCTACTTAAAACTGTGCTTACAGCAAATGCTTGTATTTAATGTACAAAGCAAGGACGTTGACCTAAATCAGAGTTCTTACGGGTGCTGAGGTAGATTGGGCACCCTAAACCAAATTCTGCTTATAACCCCCGTAAACCTTTGACTAGGGCTACAATCATTATACCAATGTTAACACTGAAAAATAGATGTTTGCATCATCAGCCTTGTTTCCATCAAGAGGCTTACTTACATGAAACATATTCACATTATTTCTTTTTCTCCAATGTTTCAGGTGGAGCTCTTCATGTCCATGACTTTTCCATGGTGGATGCTGAGTGGCTGGTGAAGAACGTGACGTATCGCCCACACTGCTACATGTGCTGGACTGACAGCCAGTCCATCAGATTTATCTTCTCGTCTCAGCAGCCAAAGCCTCTGCCGCGGTGCTCTTCTTGGGCTCTGCTGGAGAACCTTCGAGCCAAAACGATCAACACCACAGATCTAGACGACAGGTGATTCAATCTTTGTAGCGCTATGATTTTATAAAAGTATTTTAAAAGTAATTGGAAATAAGCTACCTCCAACAAAACAAGAAATATGAAAGAAATCTTTCTTTTCACACTTTTACATCTCACGGTTCATTATTTTATCATTGTCCTATCATCCTAGACAACACGTTATTTAAACCCCATATCTGTAACGTCACTCGTCTCCATCCATCCCTCTCACCCAACGGTAACGTCATCCTGACTCACTCTGGTCACATCCCATCCAGATTGCTGTAACTCTTCTAAAATCCATCTATAAACTTCCAACTGGTCCAGAACCCCTTCCACCAGTCTATCCTACAGCATCTTCATTGACAAATCCTGCTCCTCACCTTTGAAGCAACGGCCTCGCCCCTCTCTGTCTCACAGCACTTCTCCACATTAACACGCTCACCTACACGCTCAGGTCTTCCTCCTCCTCCATCCAACGACCTGCTCGTCTGGTCACTGTGGGCTCAAGAGCATTCAGTCCCTCAGCACCCCACCTCTGGAGTCTCTCCCCCTGGACATCAAAAACTCTCCCACAGTCTAGAAAATAGACCTAATTTAGCTGCATGTGAACAAACGCGTTCTATAAATTTGTACCGGTATGCATGTTCATATTTTAGGATAAAATATTAAAATAAGATGCCTCTAACCCTGAAGCATGAACAGTTGGGTTATTATGAAAAGCAGTGGATTTATAATTGACACTAGACTAACCCCTACAGGTGCACTCCTTTACTAGAAACAGATGTTTTAGTGGTGTGCAATGAGACCGTTAAGAAATAAACCAATAAATGACACATTCTGTGTAAAATCTTAATAAGATGGCACTTACTTTCTGAATGACTCTTGTATCTTGTCTTCTCTTCAACACTGTCCAACTTTCAGCATCATGAGGAATCTGACGCTTTTCACTGATCAGGATCCAGAGGCAACATACCCCAGTCAGGATGTGGTGTGGGATAAGTTTGAACAGATTTTCCTCGCTCTCTGGGGTCTGGTCACTTACGCCCCTGTGTTCAGAGACTATTTCTATCAAGGCCTCACCCAGTTCTACACGGACAACGTCATGTATCTGGAACTGCGCGCTCTCCTTCCAGAGGTAATGTCCGCCTTCGCATCATCTGCGCATCATCTGTTTTGTGTCCGGTGTTTCCGTTCATCAGTTGTTACGTTGTACCGCTGGCACTCAGGTGTATGAGTTAGATGGCAGCACCCATGACAGAGCCTGGACCCTGAAGGCCTACCAGGATATCACCAGGCAGTTCACGGCAGAGCACCAGGACTTCTTTGGAGCAAGAATCATTGTTACAATTCACAGGTGACTTCACTGAGTGCTTTTAAAATAGATCTGACCGGTCGCTTTCTGACACGAGTCAAACATCAAGAGGATTTTTATTGAATGATTATTTATCGGACGTGCTGTTTGTTTCAGGGGTGTAAATGCATCAGTTATGACTGAAGCTGTGAAGGAAGCAATGAAGCTGAAGAAAGACTTTCCTGACTTCATGGCTGGTTTTGACATGGTGAGAGTCAACGTGACTTATCCTCTGGATAGGACTACTGTGGGAGGAAAGAAACTATATATGGCTTCATTTACTAGATTGAAAACAATATATAAAAGTAAAACAATTTTTCATTCATTCAACCTTTTATTTATACAGGTTAGTTCCCATCGAGCCTCGAGTACGATAGAGCTTTAGGGCCACGCTAAGAAAAAATAAATAAAATAAAAGCCATAAATTTACGAGAGCGTACAAGACTTTTTTTATTACAGCTCTCGTTCATTTATTAATTTTTTTCCATGAGTTGGATCCATGACGTGACCTGTCAGTAGGCGTGTCAGCAAATGATCCGAAGCAGAAATTAAATGCTCCTTACCTGCAGAGAGCTGGAGCGTACCACCTTACTGTGAGCAGGTTCAAAGTCCCGATACTAACAATAATCTGATGCTGATGTGCTGACGGATTACAGTTTTACCGTTTTCAAACGGAAACAAAAAAAAAAAGTTGTGACGTAATTACGTCACGCATCCCAGAAGCAGCGTACAAAAACACAACAGTAGGTGGAAGTATTGGAACACGTTTTGATTAAGAGCGTCAGTAACTATAAAGTTTAACATTCTTCATTTTACCACAGTTAAAATGTGGTAACCCCTGCTTTATCGTGTCGGAGTTTGGATAATATTAAGACTCATTTAGTTTTGGATTGGTCATTTGCTGACACGCCTACTGGATTGATTGACAGGTCACGTTGTGGATCCGACTCGTGGGGAAAAAAAAAATTAATGACAGCTGTAAAAAAAAAAAAAAAAAAAAGAAGTCTCGTACACTTTATTCTCGTAATATTAAGACTTTATTCGACTTTATTCTCGTAATTTTCTGGCTTAAATTTTTTTTTTCTTAGCGTGGCAATGTAATTTTTTTTTTTTTTTTTAGCGTGGCCCTAAAGCTCTGTTGTACTCGAGGACTCATCCATCATCCATCCATCCATCCATCCATTATCTTTACCCGCTTCTTTCATTTTGGGTCACGGGGGTTGCCAGTGCCCATGTCCAGCTATTACTGTGCGAGGGGCGGGGGACACCCTGGACAGGTCTCCAGTCCATCACAGGGACACAGAGAGACAAATGAGACAAACAACCATTCACTCTCTCACTCACACCTAGGGACAATTTAGAGTTACCAATCAGTCTAACATGTATGTTTTGGTCTGTGGGAGGAAACCAGAGTACCCGGAGAGAAAAAGTAAAACAATGACTTCCCAATGTGTAAAGAATGGTGCTAACTGCCCGTGTGGATCCACAGGTGGGCCGGGAGGATAGAGGCAGACCCCTGTGGTACTTCAGAGAGGCCTTGTCACTGCCTGCAGAGAAAGGAGTCTCACTTCCTTTCTTTTTCCATGCTGGAGAGACTGGTGAGCTCCCTGCTTCATATGGAGTCGGTATTGTTTATGTGCAACAATTAAAATTTAAAGAAATTGATTTTGTCCTTCGTTTAAGGGAAAAACTAAAAGTCAGTCCTGGAAGAATTTGTTCACTGACCTTAAAGCTACTTGTTTGACTCCACATCTTGCAGACCTTGAGGGCACTGAAGTGGATCAGAACTTATTAGATGCTCTGCTCCTGAACACGTCACGTATCGGCCATGGATTTGCACTGCTTCACCATCCGGTGGCCAAAGATTTGTCCAGGAAGAGAGGGGTGGCTGTGGAAGTGTGTCCCATCTCCAACCAGGTACACTGTTCTTTGGTAAATCATGCCCGCTAGCTGCCAGAGTGCATTTCACAACATCATCTGAAACTAAAGCTGCTGTGCTTTTTCTTTACACACATCTTTCTGTAGGTATTAAAGCTTGTAAAAGATCTGAGAAACCATCCGGCAGCCGCCCTGATGTCAGAAAATCATCCAGTGGTCATCAGCTCTGATGACCCTGCCCTGTTCGGCACATCTGGTCTCTCTTATGACTTCTATGAAGCTTTTGTGGGTTTTGGAGGCATTAAGTCCCACGTCGGCTCCCTTAAACAGCTTGCAATGAACTCTATCAGGTGAGATTTTATGTGTTCCCTCGTGCATTCATAATTATAAACTACTCTGACTTTTCTTCTCCTTTTCAGGTATAGTTCTTTGACTGCACAGCAACAAGAAAAAGCAATGGATGAGTGGCAAAGACGATGGAATAAGTTCGTCTCTGAAAATCATTTTTAAACCATAAAGCACATTTCTCTTAATCTTACTACATCCACATTTTTATGTTTTTTACACAACAAGCTCTAATTTGTCTTCTGTTAAGTGAAATATACTTCAGCAGGTGCTGTGTCACCCACTTTGAGTGGCTACTCTTATGCAAAGAGGAAGGAGTTCATGGAGAACTAACGGGTTATACAAGGATAATTTGCATATTTATGTGTCCCTGCAAACTAAATCTGGCAAAGATTTAGAGTGAAATGTTCATGAAAGCATGAATTATTGCAATAACTAAATATTAATTATTGCCTAAAAGGTGACCTAACGCGGTTTAAAAATGCTAGAATTGTAGAATAATCTTCAGTATTTGTGATTTGCTGTAAAAGATGATTGCACAGAGCTGTGAACTTAGGTGTGCTGCTGCTGAGGAAGAGTGTGAGAGAAACATGTTCTCTACCATCCCTCATTCTGAATATGAAGCTGTTCACTGGTCAACTTTGACTTTATCATTTCTCAAGATTGATCAGTCCCGTACTGATAAGGATAAGACTGACATTTGTATTTTCAGCTTCTTCTGTACTTTTAGGCTTCTCGTTTTGTGTTTTGCACCTTGGTTTGAATTTTGATGTGGGGGAAAGTCTCATTCGATGAGATCTTTAGTGCTAGCAGTGCAGTTTCTCAACTTCACCATTTGATATGCTTAATAAGTTTCATTGTGAATAAAATATAGGTTTTTATGATTAATATATCATTTCATTTTTTTTCCCCCCTACGGCTGTTTAAATATGTTTGTAAAGATGTGAGAAAGATTAACACTAAACGTGTTTTTGTCTTGTTTGCTGTTTGTGCTTTTGAATAATAAGTGTTTACAGGGTGATAAAAAAAAAAGAATGTTAGCCATTTGACTTTTGTATACAATATATTTTTGATTTAGTTGCTCATGCAGATCAGATCTCTAAAAAATACAAAAATACAGTGTCAGCTGTAAGTGTGGCAAAATTGTCGAATATGCAAACTAGAGGCAAGAAAAAAATGACTTATTGCATGTTTTTTAAATTAACCATTCCTCACACGTAAGCGGTACAGCAAACACTCCTTGCAGTGTCCCTTCATCTGCTGCAGGTGTTAAACTTTGAGAAGAAGCTGTCTTCTATACGCCCTTTTTCAATGTCTGGCTTCCTGAAAATCACAAGTTTGAACACGGATTGTGACCATGTGAGAAAAATAAAACTGGACTATTTAAAAAAAAAAAACTCACTGTAGTTTGTGTGTTTGAGCCAGTTGAACGTTGATGCTGTCTAGGTTCCTTCTCAGCTGCTTGTCCAACCTGGCCTGCTGCCTCTCCATCAGCAGAGCTGTACGAGCAGAGTCCACGCGGAGGCGATCGTAGCGTTCCTCTTCCTGCTTTCTTTCCAACTCGATCCTCTAGATGCACACGTCACAGTCGCAAACAACAAATATCCACCTTCCAGACTGCATTTTTGAAGCTAAATGGCTTTACCTTCTTCTCCTCGACTTGGTTTCTCTGAAACTGAATGACCTGCTGCAGGTTCTCAGGAGGCTCTCTCTTTTTGCTGGGGCACAGGCCGGGCACTCCCACCGATCCCAGAGCACATTCTTGCAGGTGGCTCTCCTGAGCATTACTTTCCTCCTGATGTCGTTTCTCCTCAATCTGATGTAGATCAAAAAAGAGATGGAGTTCAAGTGTGTTTTAATTGCAGGCTCTATTTTTTTCTATCATACCAAAAGCAGATTTGCTATTTTTATTTGGCAATTTGAGCAATTAGAATAATTTACCTTGGTCATGTTATAGTCATTAGTGGCAAACGCAGCTGCCTTTCTCCTTTCCATCTCAATGTTCTGAAGCTCTGCAGCCTTGTTGTCCATTTCTACCCTGCTTTGGTCATAGCTCTGATCTAAAGTTCAGTGCAGAAGAAGATATGAGCATCCGTTGTGTGCAAACTGAGCATTTATAGTACAAGAAAACACCTGCCTTCTATCTTTTGCTGATGCCTTTCTGCCTCCTGTTCAGTCTGCTGCTGGATGAGCCACTCCCTGAGCTGCTCCTTCTGTCTCAGCAGTCTGCTCTTACTGTCCCGGTCCTCACCCACCAGGCCAGGGAGCATCATCTGAGCATCGCTTTCGTCCATTTTTCTGAAGCGGTCAGGGTCATTGAGATCGAACTCGCGCCGGCTCCACAGTTGCTGGTGCTGATGCCGGTAGGTCACTTGGGTTTTCTCCATGTCACGCTTCTCCTTCTCCTGTCTGCGCTGAAGGAGGTTGGCTACTTTGACATGCTGGAGTATATCAGCTTCTGTTTTGAGAGGCCATGTTGCATACAATGCGATTCATTTAGCATTATAATGTACTAATGTCACAAAGACCCATCAATAATTCTTGTTCTTATCAGTAAGTACGAAACAGAATTTGCACAATTTATTTCTTACATTGACAAATCATGTGTCCTTAAATTTAAAATTTGCAGGCAAACTGTATTTATATACAAAAAGCCAAAGTGCATGAAAAAAAAAAGTGATGTTTATGAAACAGACATTTTAAATAGAGAATTACAATATTTTTGGTGTATTTGTACATATTTAAGCACCAGTTTGTTGTGTTAAGTATGCAGATTAAAGCGATTTGTTTACATTGAGTGTGTACCTGTATTTTTATCTGGAAAAGTACTGGGAACTCTTTAAAACTGCATTGTTTTATATAGTGGGAGATAACATTTTTTATGTTTTATTTTCAATGAGTAACTTTAACTGATTCCTGGCAGGTGATTCACTAAGACATTTTCAAAATGACTTATTGAAAAATAGCTACAAAAATGATTTTGTAACTCACCGTAGGTGTTTTGATTCATTTTTGCCTCTTCTTCTTGTCTCTTCTTCTCTTTCACCTGCATGTCCAAGGCTTCTTTGTCAATCTTTGAAACAAATCAGCACATTTATTTTGTTAAAGCGTCACCGTGTCAGCCTGCTAACTCTGCTAACTTCACTCCAGCTACATGAACTCACCCCAATCAGCCTCACTTTGTCGTTAAAAATGCGTTCTTGCCTTGCGCTTTCGTTTTTGCGACGTTTTTCCAGATTAGCTCTGGCGACGCGGTCGGAAATCAGATCAAGGTTGAACATTTTAAGTCGCAGATTGTGTCTATGTTGAAAGAGACTCGCACAAATGGTGAAACTTTCCGTCTTCAAACACACCGGTTGCTAGGCAACCATAGAGGAGATTCGTAAACTTCCGTGAGTTGTCGGCTTTTTCCGTCATCTACTAGCTTGGTGCCATGAAAAAAAAAAAGGCTGAAGATTCAAGTTGGAGGAGAAGCTCGAAATAAATTAGAGGCAGAGCAGTATTTAACCTAAAATTTCTTGTTAAGAATTTTTTAAAAACTTTATTGAACATACAGAACAAAGGAAGACAAGAACAATATAAAAAAAATGACAATCTCAAATTACAATGATAAGTAAAAATATCTGTCATACTTCCTAAGGTCCACATATGCTTAAACAAATTAACATATTAAACATCAAAAATTTAAGTTTAGATAATATCAGAGTATTAGCAAATAATATGATAAAAGTAAAATCAAATACACAGCACTATTTATCTAACATTCTACATAATTACTAAAATAATTTGTCAGAGGGCTATATTATCTGAGCGAGGTGATAAGAGAGAGATTTTTTTTTTTAGCACTGTCTAATGAAAGTTTTAACATCTGGAGTTCTTGTATGAATACAGACCATAATGACTTAGACTTGCCATATGCATTTATATAATTTTAAGATTATGATAATGTTATTAACAAAGTATTCATCTTTTTATTTTCAGATACATATCCATATAAGACATTCTGAGGGGAGAAGGAGTCTATTCGCAGGTTTACAGTGCTGTGATCACTTAGGGCTACAGGAGATCTTGGCTTCTGTGACGTGTCCAAGTAAAGAATCTGTAACTAACCAATAATCAATTCTTGAGTGTTCTGTCTAATGTTAGAGTTTAGGTTTCTCCAAAGATCAACAAGTTTATTGGTATTCATAAAGTCACCCATGATTGGATTTAATGTCACCTGAGAGTATTTTGAAGGGCATCTGTCCATCCAAAAAAGTTAAATCTGGTCCTCTGGACATTCAACAAACAAAACAAAGCAAAACAAAAACAAAATGATGTAGAAACGTTTCGTCTTTCATCCGAGAGACTTCCTCAGTCTGAGGTGCTGTATTCAGCTCAGTCTTATAAATAGCACCTTCTCAGAGTGGATCAACCAGTTTTGCTGCTGACAACCAAAACCAACTGATCACATGCTCAAGAAGGACCATCAGCCTAACAATGGATCATTAGCACACTGATGGCTGTTTACTGCTCACAGAGGGCTGAGTGATACTAGCAATCACAGCATTGTAAGAGGGGGACAATTGAACACGTAGGCCTCCACCCCTGTTTAATGATGGACGGTTTCTTTTCACAAAGATGGCCTCCTTTACTCCTCTCTCAAACCATCGTTCCTCTCTATCCAGGATGTGAACATCTTCATCCCTGAAAGAGTGACCGCTGGCCTGGAGATGAGTGTAGACCGCAGAGTCCTGGCCTGATGATGTTGATCTTCTGTGCTGGGCCATCCTTTTGGCCAGTGGTTGTTTAGTTTCCCAGATGTAAGACTGATCACAGCCCTCCTGACACTGAACAACATACACAATATTACTCTGTTTGTGCCGGACTGGATGTACTGGATCTTTGGGATGATCCAGTCTTTGCCGTAATGTATTTTGGGGTTTAAAAGCCACTGGGACGCTATGTTTAGAAAATAAATGTCTCAGTTTCTCTGATACTCCCGCAACATATGGAATGACCCCTGGTCTGGGTCTGGGTTCCTCCTTTCACCTGTTGGCTGACTGGAGTCCTGTTTGGGTTTCTTCTCTGCTTTTAGGAAGGCCCAGTTAGGATATCCACATTGCTCTAGAGCCTGTCTTGTGTGGGATTTCTCCTTCTACCTGGCTCCTGAGTTAGTGGGGACGCTGTCTGCTCTGTGGTACAGAGTCCTGATGACTCCTAACTTGTTCTCCAAAGGGTGATGGGAGTCACAGTCCATCAACCTGGAACCCCCCCCCCCCCCCCCAACTTTATCATTGAACTTATATGGCCACCACATTGTTCAAGCCAAGAGCCATTCTGGGGGCTAAGCACCCCTAAAGTTCAGATCCTAGAATAGGCCCTTTTTTTGTTCTAGAATTGCGCTGCTCAAGGTGGCTGCATGTTGGAGCAGCTTTGTTACTTTCATTCTGAGATTTTGCTTTTGGAAACTTTAATTCCTCTTTTTCTGGATGTAAGTCACATTTTTTGGATGATTGTTTCCTCTGGTATCAGATGCTGTGCAGCCGGAAGGATTTTTACTGAGACTTTTTTGGTTTTGGACATTTGTTATGATGCGTAACCATGGCAACAAGGCAGTTTTCTACAACAACAGCAGCTGATTAACATCTCAAAAGCTCAAATAATATCTCAACTATGGCCCCAACTCTCAAATGAGTTGAAAAGGATGTTATGTGGTTGCATTCTCATCTACCTGCCAGCTGTGCTCGAGTCTCTGACCACTGAGATCCTGGAACTAGCAGGAAACATGGCTCACGAGTCCACGACAGCGGAAGGACAGGATCGTCCCTCAGTACCTACAGTTGGCTGTCCGCAGTGACAAGGAGCTCGGCAGACTGTTGGGAGGAGTGACCATCTCTCTGGGAGGAGTTCTGCTCGGCATTCAGGCGGTCCTAAAGCCCGCGGGAACCAAGAGGCCAGCGAGTCTGGGTGGACGGATCAGACGGCATCTGCAGCCAGTTTCTTAGGATCCACTGTGGGATGGACCTTTACAAGAGATCCTTCCTGTCTACAGCCATCAGTATCTATAACATCTCTTAATGAAATGAGGATAACGAGTTACAACAACAAATAATTTGCCTTTGGGATTAATAAAGTATTTTTGAATTGAATTGAATTTCACATGACGTCAGACAACTTTCTTTTTGACTCGATGCTGTGGATCATTACTTCCGGGTCTATTCTCCCTTGGGCGACCTGTCTGTAAACTTCACGGAATTTCATTCATTCAACTTATATTTATAGAGGTTATATTACAAGTTTATTGAGTCAAAAAGGAAGTTGTCTGACGTCATTGTGAAAAGGGCCCCTGGTTCAGCTACATTTGCAAGGTAGATATATTTTGTTGAAAATGTTTATTTTTTTTATTTATGTACTTATTTATTATAATAGCGGGCGTAAAACATGATTGGCCATTTTTGTATAATGCTTGAATGACCCTGATTTAAAAAAAAAAGTTTGTCACGGTTGGTCGTCAACTCCCAAATTATTTAAAAACGATTTAATGAGCCAAATTAATATTGACAGAACAAATTGACAATTCATCGATATTTAAACTAATCTAAACTTCAGAAATGCTTGAGAAATATAAAATAAGAGAAAAAGAAAAATTCGAGCTAGCCAGGAGTCGAACCTAGAATCTTCTGATCCGTAGTCAGACGCGTTATCCATTGCGCCACTAGCCCGAGACAGAAATGTGCCTATCGGACGGGCTTTTTAAAATTTATTTGACGTGAATGACCGAAACTCATTCATTCATTCAATCTCTATGAAAGCTTTGTTAACATTGCTCAAAATTACTATAACTTACGTTTGAACTAGACATTTCACTGTCCCGCAGCAGAAGCTCAAAACGATTACACATGCGGCTTTGTTAGGTTTCTGCTAGTTGGGTTACAGCGGCCTCTACCGACATGACTTGGACGCGAACCTGAACTGTGAACAGTGGAGCGAGGAGGAGCGGGCATAGGCTCATCTCTCGCGAGGAACGGCGCCGTTATCGGAATCCCTACAAACAACACGAGAATTCGTCATTCACACGGTAATATAACCCAATCATACACGGTGCATGTTGTTGTGTTACAGCAACGGTGAAGATGCGTAGACAGAATGTCACTTATTTGCCGTTTTCGACTTTCAGCATTTCTTGCATTGCGTCGATGCGGCCTTAGGCCCAACTAGCATGCTAACTACTAAGCTAGCTTAAACAGCGTCTTGTTTCACTCCTTCAGCGTTAGCAAGTGGGATTGTGTAGCCTCAGCTAGCATCAGCCACTATTTACTTTTTTTTTTTTTTTTGCCTGTAAATCATTTCAAATGGATAAGTTGCCCGGGGTATAGCTAAAATAAAATTTGTTACCACACACGCATACAAAACATTGCACAAAACAGATAGCCGGTTGGTGCTTTTCCACCCATACTTTTCGTTTTAGAAACCACCGCCCTGCACATTTATCTCTTAACTGCAGATGTATAAACATAACCTTTTCCTTTAATATTTGTTTTATTCTATTATGTTTATTAATACTAACTTTAGCTAAGAATGATTAAAATTAATATATCTACAAAACAAAGCTGCTGTATGAACTGTCAGTATCAGTCACTTGTGAAAATGCCATTAACTTAAAAACAGTATTTATCATGAAATACCCCCATTTTGTTTTCACTGGTTTGCTTGTGAAAGTATAAAAAGGTATACATACCTTAAAGCATGGGGATATAAACTTGTTTTCATGTCAGATACCTTAGATGCAACTTTTTGTGGCTCTATTATGCAGACATAAACCATACAATTAAATTGAGTTTGTTCCTCCTAAATATGAAGATGAAAAAGTTACCATTACACTTCTATACAAAGCAATCTGTTGATATTAATATATGTGGTGTCATTTTAGAATGATTATTTTTTTGTTATGTTAAGTATGTTTTTCCTAGTTAAGCATAGGGAACGTACAAAACATTTTTATTTCGGATGAAAATGTGCAGAAAGTTGCACAGTGAAGTGGAACGAAACACAGTAACAAAGAAAGCAGTTTAATATAAAATTAAAAGTCAGCATTGCATTCAGTTTTAAATGTTGGCAGATTTGTGTGTATTTCACTGCCACATCTCAGGTGAGTTTGTGATGTTGCTTTTATAAGAAAAGGTTGATTAAAAATATACTTGGACATGCTGACATTTTCTCAACCACACAAAACCTTTGATAATCTTAAAACCAATAAACAGTCTGCATAACGTTAACTTTAAAAGTAATTTTTAATCAACGTGCAAAGCTGAGCTTTTTCTCAGAAAAAGCCTGTGGAAAAACAGGTATACAAACAGGTAAGCCTTGTAAAGCAATGAAGATGCATACAAGGAAAAGCGGTAAAATAAGTTATATTTAGTTAAAAAGTTAATTCAAAATCATAATAGTCCTCAATTAATAGACTGTTTTTGCCCTGTAGTGGTATTTGCTACAACTGTTCAACAAAAAACTTCAAAACTTGTGTTCTGTGATGATACAATCAAGTAATTAGTAAGCAATCACAGCTAAATGTTTTTCTGCCCCACTTGTCCATTGCATTCAATTAGATTCATTTAAAACCTGAATTACTGGTAGTTATCTTGACACAAAACATTTTTTTTCAATATTTCAGATTTTCTAAATGCTATATTGGTTTTGAGCTGGATAAGCATATTTGATAGTAAGTCCAAGTAATCCTAGGACGGCAAAGGCCTCAAAACATACAGTGTAAAGATGACCAGCTTTCTAGAAACAAGTTCATAATAAATATTGCACTGTTTTTTTTTTTTTTTTTATTCCAGCGGTGAACAATGTCACAACAAGAGTTGGATGAAATTGTTCAAATAACAGTGGAGGACTTTAACCGCACTGGTAAGATTTCTTTGGAGAAATCTGCAATCAAACTGTGTGTTTTTTTTTCTTAATTTAACTGGTGTACAGAAAATTGTTGACTTTTTCAATCATTTTCAACTGAAAGGCATGTCCTCTGATAGTTTCAGTGCTATGGAAAGTTAACAATAACAATATGCCATTTTTTTTTCTCTAAGTCAAATTTATATTCTACTTTGCTTTGGGATAAATGCTTGCTGTACGGCTCTATTATGAGGAATCTCTTTTCTCCAAAAAATTGGAGCAAGAACACATCTTCAGTCTGGACAGCCTTAAATGAAATCCAGCAAGGAGACTGTCCATTGCTGTTTTGAGGGTGTCTCTATATTTGTCTCATGCCAGACATGCTGGATAATCATGAAGATCCTGAAGAAAGAAACCAGAAGAAAAAGCGGAAATTAAGTACCTGCCAGGAGAATAACAACAGCAATCAGGACTTATTGTTCATTAAGGTACCGGTGCAGTGTAAAGAACATTGTCCAAAATTCTAATAACAATCACTTACACGTTGCACTTTTTGGGAAATATGTTAATATTAAACAAATACTTTGTTTTTTCCATTTCCAGAATCTTTTGGTTTCATTCACCGAATCAATCGGTCAACGCTTAGAAGGAATTGAGTCAAAGCTGCAGACCTTAGATGCTACATGCAAAGCCCTTGGACGCAGACTTGACAGCATGATGCCCTGTGCCAAGAGCCCTGTCCAGGTTCCTATGGTTGCAGGGTCTCCCCAGGGTGCAACTCAAACTTGGAACAAAGTGCGATGGTAAGCTCCAAGTATCAGCTCATTGAATTAATTTATTTCACCAGATAGTCGGCAGCCAAGATTTTTTTCTCTGATTTTTTAACCATTTATGAACTGACTGAAATTGTTTTTTTTTTGTAACATCTAAAGCTTCATATTTTTTTAGCTTGTTCCCAAATTGATTTGATATTTTCTTTCAGTGTTGTCCCACAAACAAATGTGATCGTGAGCAGGGAAAACCCAAAGAGCTTAAATCAGGAAGACACTCCATTAGAAAACCTGCTCAGCAAGTAAGTAGCTCTAAGCCCCAACAAAGCTCCTCATAATTATGCTGGATTTCCCAAATTTTCAATCCGGTACTAACACTGGCCATTTTCTTCTGTTATAACAACTGGGGGATCTCGGTTCTTTACAAAACGTATTTTGTGTTTACAGCACAGCAGCTCGGAGGCGTCAGAACACAATCCTGGTAAAGGTGCCAGGCCCTGAAGAGAGTCAGGAGGAGCAGGAGAGTGGCTCAGAGGCCAGTGACTCTGTCTCTAACAGCGGTCAGTCAGGCAGTGCACAAAATGGCCAAAATGTAACACTCATCACGCTCAACTCAGAAGGTAAGATCCTACACTAGCGAAACAGAAAGACAAATACAGCTTTTAGTGGTTTCAGTGGTTATTGTAAATCTTGTCCCGCACCAAGATTGTCCTAAGACAACACACAAGGTTACCGTTCTCAGAATCAAATTGGTCATTTACAACTCATAGACATGAATAGTGGTTAAAAGTGTTTGTCTGACCTTTTCACTTTGACCAAGAAGCACCTCATTTAGCTTAAACCACTTACTACACCTTATTAAACCCTCCTTTAGCATCAGAACAGCTTCTGGGTATGATATATGTTGGTTATAAGTCTCTTGTTTTATTTTAATTTTTTTAAATGGCATGTACCGGTATATAGTATGAATTATACTTTTAAAAATTATTCTTTATTCATTCATTCAACCTTTATTATGAATAAAAGAATGGTCATACATGTTGAGCTTTCTGTCTTTTCTGTCTTCTGTCAATGATGCATGTCCTTCTGTAACTTAACTGCGCCCCGAAGGTGAGGGTTCCTTTTTAACTATGCAAAAGTAAATCAAGTCCACATGTTTTTTATTTCTCTGTCTTGGTAAATTTTATTGAAGGCCAGTTCTTGAGTGTAACTTAAAAGTCAAAGTAATATTCTTTTGTTTTCAACTCCGTGTTGTAACATGTGAATCGTTGTAGTCAACATTAACTGGATGGTACCATCTGCATTATGCTTTGTTAATGTGGTATACTAAACAATTAACATGTGCTGTGAGCAAACAACCCAAAAAATAGTTTTGTTCACTTCATTGTACAGCCACACGGGTGTGCTATTGCATTACAACAAGTAACTGGATTTCTGAATCCTTTGTTGGGTTTGCCAACCAGTAAATCAGAGCTTTTTATTGAATGAATATATTTAGCTGTTTTTCAGTCAAATCAGTCCAGGTAGAGTTTACCGAGTGCTCCACATCTCAGTGTCGTCACAGACAGTCTACAAATTAATGGTAAAAGCTCACTGTAGCTGTGCTTGAAGAACAGCTTTTCATCTTCTGTTATGTCCTTGTAGATGATTATCCAGAAGGCACCTGGTTGGGAGACGAGAACAACTCAGAGATGCGAGTTCGTTGCCCAATATCTCTGTCGGACATGCTTTATATAAGCACAAACTGCCGTACAGCAGAGAAAATGGCGCTAACGCTGTTGGACTACCTGTTCCACCGAGAGGTCCAGGCTATGTCTAATCTCTCAGGGCAAGGGAAACATGGAAAAAAGCAGCTGGACCCACTCATGATCTATGGCATACGCTGTAAGACATAAACCTTTTCTCTCTGTCACTGACAAGTTTTGGCCAGTTTCTTTGCATGCACAAGTTTCTAGCAGCGTCAGGAACGATGTCTACGTGTATTTATGCATAGACTATACCGCAACTAACTACGAGTGTATCAGAGCTATATGAACTTGCAAGTTTGTGATGTGATTGTCTAATAGTAGTCAAGTCAGAGTCTAACAACTATATCTGAACATTATCAAATATTTTCAATATAGCCAACATATTACACTAATACATTTTTATTTTGCTGAAATTGGAGGTTTAAAACCTTTTGTCCTTGTGGCTTAAATTAACTCTCCCAAGACTTTTCCATGTTTTATTTCTGTTCCATTATGGAGCAAAGTTGAATCGAACACAGAAATAGGTCATAATATGTATTCCCAAAGTGGCTTACAACAACATGCATTAATCATAGCATATGTGCCATAATGTGCAACACATTGTTGTACATACCAAAGTCCAAATGACATGCACGTCTGGTAGAAAGATGTTAACACAGTCACTCTTGAATTAGTAACTCTGAGCAGTGGAAGGCTTTCAAGGTCTTCAGTGGTTGACAGATTTATTTGTGTGCAAGTGCTTCATCCATATTTTTTTTTATATTGGGGTTTTAAGAATGTCTCTGTCAACTGTGACCTGTTCTACAGAGTTAGTTTATGCCTATTTAATTGGTTTTAACAAGTATTTTCTCGTGACATACATGATTATAGAGTGGGATTGACACTCTGTCTAAACACTCTCTTGCACGGTTGATAGAGTTGCTTATCCCCTTCTCTCATACTTCCCCATGTTTGATAGGGGATGTCTATTTTGGCCATTTACAATGAGATTTCAATAGAAAGGATCCATCTTTACACCTACTAAAGGCAGAGATGGGAAAATAAGTCAAGTATTGTAGCTTTTATTTATTATTATAATTATTTTTAATAAACTGTTATCTTTGGTTCTTGTATAAACTCCATGTTCACATGTAGATTATGTGAAAATTAAGTTTTTTATCTTCTGTTTTGGTCAAATTCCTTACAAACAATGATGGGCATTTCCTCTGTTTTTTTTTTTTAGTTTTGCTTTTAAAGTAAAAAAAAAAAAAAAAGCAACGTTTTTATTTTTGGTTACCTATACATCTACTTGGCAATTTGTGTGTGAAGCTGCATGCACATTTTGTCTAACACATAAGTATGCAGAGCCAGGAGCGTGGCTGGCTGACATTTGGGTGACTCATTCTGAGTGGAAAAAAAAAAAAAAGAATGAAGGAGCACCTGTCCTGCTTGCCTGTGCAGGACCCATCAGGTGCAAAGGGGCTGCCGAATAGTGTCATCCCGTTACCATCAGATAACCTTCTGTCTCGTTTTCTATCCTCGGGTTGCAAAGGTTGCAGCCGGGTTGCTAACTTAAATAGAAATGAGCTGTCAGGTGGCTCTCGCCCTCTGAACAATTTATAACGTGGCTTAGACAGCCACTAAGTACACCTGTACATATCTCCATGCAAGGAGATGGTGAGAGACAGTTAGACTTGTGATAACTTGCCAGTAGGGGTGGAGAAGTAAAAAAAAAATTAGGCAGGGGTTACCTTTTATTATTATTATTATTTTTATATTTTTTATATATTTATGTTTTGGTTACAATAGAAGCAGCTCTATTAAAATAAAAAAAATAAATAGTTGTCTTTTTAGTTAGATAACTTGTGTCTAGCTTGTGTAGTTTGGAGTTTGGAATAAAATGCCGTTATACAATATTTTCAAAAAGATTTATGGCTGCAATAAGTTAAATAAATATTAAGTAGGCAAAAAGTGTATATATATTTTTGCTTAAACATACCAACAAGCCTGCACAGAGTTTAAAAAAATATATAACTGCACAATGTTTTTCCATTCTTTTTAGATATTGTTCATGTTATTTGATTTCTATACATATCGTTACATTTAATTTCTCCATGTCTTCACAGGTCACTTGTTCCACAAATTTGGCATCACTGAGTCAGACTGGTACCGGATCAAGCAAAGCATAGATTCAAAGTGTCGCACAGCCTGGAGACGCAAGCAGCGTGGCCAGAGTCTGGCAGTCAAGAGCTTTTCCAAACGCACACCGCGCAGTTCAGCTGCAGGTAAAGAAGAGGGGTCAAGTTTCTGTAAATCACTGTGTGTAAAAACCATGACATGTGGTATCACAATTAACTTCAGTGACTATTTTATAAATATATGTAAATATTGGAATTTTCATTGAAATATGTGTGGTTAGTCATACTTGTTTACATGCTGGTTTCAGCACCACTTGTTTTGAGGGTTCATTTATAGCTTCAGTGAAGCAGAATGTAATTTAGTGACATGAAATCCATTCATCGTGCGCTGTCAGGTTATGCAGTTGGTCCAGTTACAGGCTCTGAACTATGGTGTTTGAAAGCTTTTTCCCTAAGTGGTCATAGAGTGTGCAGCTTCAGATGTTTGCTATCTCCAGACAATGCCTGCTGTCCTGTGAGCTCTCACCTCTCACCTCTGACTAGAGAAAATTTTGACTGCAGGGGAAACACAAATATCCTGTGAGCACACATTTGGGATGGATTGTCAGACCCCTTCCTTTTCAGGTCAAACATACCCCGGAGTATAAAACACAAATGGTAGTTCAGATGGTGCATCCTTCAGCATGCAATACACAAAAGAGACCAAACAGTTATTCTGTCTTTCATCAAATTACATGTTAAATAAACTGGGGAAAAGCAACGGTTCTGCTTTTAAAACAATAACTAATTTTACATCGCAGGACTTCAGATGAACTGTAGAGCTTTCAGAAACCACCTGGCAATTCTTTCTTCGTCTGGTAAAGTCCTAAGGATTGTTTATATAATTCAGTACACAGCTGTGACAATGAAAGATGGAAGACTGCTCATTTCCAAAACGTTGTTTGTGATATCTTAGTTTAATTTAATGTAAATAAAAACTGCATTCTGGTTGGTGTGAGTTTGCAGAGGGTAATAGATGTAACATGGAACTACAGTTAGTGTGTGTTAGACCGACCGTTTAAGTTTGTCTTGAGCTGTCTGGTCATAAATGTGGGTGTATGACTGATCGTGCATTTAGATGTGTGAACAAGTACAAAACAAGACAGCACCCAGCAGCTGACCAGTAAATTTGTGTTTTGTAACCGTTTGCCAAAACCGTATCTGTATTTTGTTTTGTTTCTCAGTGTCTTTGTTTTGTATCTTTATTCTGCCTTCTACAGCTCGGCAAATTAGTTGTACTTTATCTCTGATTTCCATCATTCACTATGAAGACCTGATTCTGTCCTTTTTTGCAGATGAGAATATGTCAGAAGAGTCTTCCCACATTGAAGCTGCTACCCAGCAGACTTTGCACTACACACTGGCCAATCAGCAGGTCCAGTTCCACCGCATTGGTGAAGATGGGCAAGTTCAGGTGGTGAGTGCCTTGACATTTTATTGCCAGTTAACTTACTACATTTATACAAAATGACTAGTTTTTAATTAGTGCAAAAATCTATAGTTTAAAAATGACACAACGATTTCAAGTATTGGATACCAATAAACAAACCTAGACTTTCCTTGTAGACTTTCAAAGTGACCATTCCTTCTCAGTACTTCTCACTTCTTAATTGTAGGTTAAATTTGGATAAAATATTGATATTGTAAAGCATATTCCATCCATCCATCCATCCATCCATCCATCCATCCATCCATCCATCCATCC